ACCGGCGAGTGCTCACTGAGGCAGAGCTCGATGAGCGAGGTGAGGTAGATGCATGGCCTGGCATCCCGTTTGGTCTGCTCTGCCATTGGAGCTGACCCCGTCTCATGGGCAGTGCTGGTAGTGTTAGTTGTTCCTCTTCTATGGATCCCTTCCCAATCTCTGGCTGTGTACAGGACTGTTAAATAAGCCCCGATTATTAGTCAGCTCACAGCCATATGCTGACTGACTGGCTTAGTCATTCCCATCCCCCTATGGGTTCAATGGTAAACACTGAGGGTCTGGTAATTGGAAATTATGGGGTAGCTCCCAAACTGGCTTTTGAGAACACTTTGCTTGGCTGTGTGTATAAGTTTTTGCAGCCAAAGATATATTTTTGGAATGATCAAGACTTTCCAACTTCAAGCATGTCTTGTCAAATACTTCAGCTAATGAAATAAACTTAAAAGCTGAGCTAGTTCACAGCTTGATATTAAAGAGCCTTTCCAGATACTACAGCCCGTTTGCTCATAAATAATGTTAATTTTCAATTGGGAGAATTGGGGGGAAAAAAAACTTTGTTTGAAGTGGATTGTTTCTGTCCTGGATGCCAGTAAAGAGTCCATACAGAGTTTCAGACTAAAATACACTATATATAGTAACAACTACGATGTTTTAAACTAGTGCTGTCAAATGATTAATTGCGATTAACTGCATCCAAAATAAAAGTTTTTGTTTGCATAATATGTGTGTGTGTTCTGTGTATATTTATGTATATATGAATACACACACATAGGGTATATATTTTGAACATATTTACATGTATTCACACGTCTATATTTATATTCATATCATTTATATTATAAATAAATATATTTAATATATAAAAATAAAATGTTTCTGATATATATACACATGCATGTGTGTGTATTTATAAACAATAAATATATACAGTACACATTCATATATTATGTAAACAAAAACTTTTATTTTGGATGCGATTAATCGCGACTAATCATTTGACAGCACTAGTTAAACAGTAGGTACATGAACAGGTGCTCACTGTGCACCCACAGAGGCTTCTATACTAGGTTTACATGTCAGGGACTACATCATCGTGCTGAAGGATAGCACTGAATGTGTTTAATTACACACACACACAAATGTTTCAATGAAACGACTTACTATATATCCACAAAGCAATCTTCAAAGATTTTACAGTGGAGGAATTTTAGAAGGTTGTCTTTGGAGGTTATGAAATGGACTGTCATTTTCCAGAAGGATAACACTCAAAACTCAACGGATCAAAAAGTTGGAGAAGTTTGGAAAGTGGTAGCAAACACTAGGCCACACTTTATTTTAAAGGGGTCATATGATGTTGCTAAAAAGAACATTATTTTGTGTATTTGGTGTAATGAAATGTGTTTATGCGGTTTACGGTAAAAAAAAAACACATTATTTTCCACATACTGTACATTATTGTTTCTCCTCTATGCCTTGCCTTTCTGAAACACGTCAATTTTTACAAAGCTCATCGGTCTGAAAAGCGAGGTGTGCTGTGATTGGCCAGCTATCCAGTGTGTTGTAATTGGCCGAATACCTCAAGCGTGTGACAGAAATGTTACGTCCCTTACCATACTGTGATGCCGTGTCAGGCTGGAGCGACGAGACAAAAACAATAAAGGGGTCCTAATATGCATTTTTTACTTTTTAAATTTTAGTCAGTGTGTAGTGTGTATGTTTGGGCATAAATAAGATCTAGAAAGTTACAAATCTCAAAGTCCACTCCAAAGTCAATAATCATGCAGATTTATGTTACAAACTTATAGAATTGTACAGTAAGAAAGTTATTTCCTTTAACCAGGAAATTAACGTTCTTAGAATTGACAAGACGGTTGACCCTGAGTGGTCAGCTAAATATCTACAGTGGATCTAAAATATTAATAATTAATCATAATTAGTTATGGTTAATTATTCATATTTCCCCATGAGCTAATCCGCTACACCATGTCTGCATTTGTGATCGGAGAAATGACAAACAACAAGGTCCCTACACTGCTCAAAACTCGCGTTTGAATCATCAGTGGCAAATTCTTTATATATAAAAAACGTCAGAACAGCCGGCATTGTAGTCTACTCTACCAGGATCAGGAAACAGTCCTCCATAAAATGCGCTGCACACATCTGAATATTTGGGTTGAACTGTTCTGGAACAGTGTTGTAAATACAACTTAACCACTGATTTCTAATCGTGTCCTCTTTTGGAAGACCAAACAAAGTAGTTTCTCTTTCACAATGAAACACACAGCATCACACACGGCGGCCTTGAGTGAGTCGCGGTCGGCGGATTTAACGAAGGAGCAGCCGGCGGGCTTGCGGCAACCACATGTGATGACCCTGGGCTGGACTCTGCTTCATCCACGGTCAAAGCTGATCCGGCGATCCACAGCGCGATGTTGATGTATTTCCTCAGCGACCAGCACGGATCAGCTCCAGGCATGACGAAGCGGATATCGTCCTCTTTTGGAAGACCAAACAAAGTAGTTTCTCTTTCATAATGAAACACACAGCATCACACACGGCGGCCTTGAGTGAGTCGCGGTCGGCGGATTTAACGAAGGAGCAGCCGGCGGGCTTGCGGCAACCACATGTGATGACCCTGGGCTGGACTCTGCTTCATCCACGGTCAAAGCTACAATACTACAGAGAGAATAAAAGTTACGCCTTCTTTCTTTGCGTGAACATTTGGGTGGCGTTATGCAAATCTTCCCACATTGTGACGTAGACATGTGGGGGTGTGTAGGAACGAGCCGTTTTAGGTAGGCGTGGTTAACTCTTAACTTTTATAAAGAATATGTCTTTGGATTTGAGACTTTAGTCTTTGCAACTTTACAGATCTTCTTTATGTACCAAGAGCTTGTAACACTTCAAAGAGAAAGGAAAAATTTAAATTGCATCATATGTATATCATCAATTCTCGCTATTAACAAACCATTAACAATGCCTTTTGCCTGAATTAACGCCTAATTTGCTGCTTATTAATAGTTAGCAAGGTAGTTGTTAGATTTAGGTATTGGGTAGGATTAGGGATGTAGAATATGGTCATGCAGAATATGTGCTTTATAAGTACGAATAAACAGCCAATGTGTTAATAATAGGCTTGCTAATAAGCAACTAGTTAATAGTTAGAATTGGTCCCTATACTAAAGTGTTACCAAACCTCCAAATAATGACAATGGAAACACAGCCACATGCTGCCTGCAACAGCACATTATATACAACACTACAGTTTACAGTATTTCAATCATATAAACTACACTCTCTTCAACCCTAATGGAGGTACTAATCTAGGGTCATGTGACAGCAGCCATATCATGATCAAAACAATTTACAATTTTAATACAAGTAATTACAAAGCGAGGAAAGAAATGTGTTTCCTATGGACTCACACCGCTCTCTTCACAGCTTTCAGCAATTCATAAATTTAAGTGCAAACAGACCCAGATACAGTAGTATTATGAACTGCTATGTGCATAGGGACAAACAATAAAAAGGATCCCTCCCCCACGTCTAATCCACCTCCTCAGCAGATCAATAATAAAATGATAACTGAAGTTTCTCACAGCCACAAGCTTTGCAAAAGAGGAGACTTCACTAACAAACTCAGTAAGACAGCCTATAATGTATAATATATAAAAATTGCAACATAACGTGCACAACCGTGTTCCAATAGAGCAAAAATGCACTCAGAGGTTCCACTGTCCACATGAATTTGGACTCACCATCTGGAAAACTGGAGCGAAAACACTTTATGACCATCTTTAAACATATATTTTTCCGTGTTATTTATTCTGGTGTGGGAAGGCAATAAGCAGTGCGGCTCATCAACATGATGGAACACAAAATAGAAGCTTCTTTATTAGGTACACCTGTACACACCTGCCTGTAATGCAAATGTCTAGTCAGCAACTTGTGTTTCAGCAACTCAACTAAGCTGTTAAAAACTAAAAATTAAAAAATATGAGGTGATGAGATTTTCTGCGGAAAATTTTTTTTTGGTAGGGTGTGAATAACGGGTTTTTTAATCATTCATTAAAAAAGTTATTTTTAATAGGTTAACAACTAAGTGACCACAAAAGTTATTCATTGCAGATGCAACCACACTGTATGAACAGCTAAATTAACTGAGAAGTTTGCACTAGTTATATTAACAGCTCCAACACAATGACAACAGAGTAACATGTAAAGTAACAATTGATTCTTACAACAACTCAAAGAATTAAGGGTTTTGGGTATGACGATAATAGACTATATAATTAAAGAAATGGCACTTAGAATGTAAATAAAAAAACTCTATTAAACTATGCATTAAAAGAATGTACAAAAATGGGGCCCTGGTCTGACAAACGAAAAAAAAAAAAGCCTCACTGATATGAATGGATGAACGGAAGTGATGGAATTCAAGGAGAACCCATGTGCAGTGTTAAAGCATCGTCTGTACACAAAAAACATACATGCATCTCTGAGAGGTCTATGACATCCTTCAGCCCAGCATGTGAGGATTAATCACGATCAATATGAGTTTTTCTGTAACTCTTATGTTTTGTGTGTTTAGCCTTCAGCATGAATACAATCTCTTGTGCTGGTGACAGTAATAAGCAAGCAGTGTGAAGGCCAGAGATCCATGAAGAGGCTAATTACTAAGTGACAATGAACACTGGCAGACAAGCTTTGACAATGCAGCTGCTGCTCAAAATGTACAGACACGCACATACACACATTTGTTTCGGGGTCGTCTTTAGGTATTTTTTCATGTGCTTCTACTGTTTTATATTATGCTAATCCTACTGTTTCATAATAATTTTATCCCATAACACTCACAGAAAACTTTATTTAGCATGTTTATTGATCTGTTTTCATTGAGGGGACATCTGTGAGCATCCCAAGATGCAAGCAAAACAAGAAGCCATCAGCATTTGTGGAATTGAAGAATTAGATAAAAACCGACTTGGGTTATTCTTTACCTTGCTGTGCTGAACTGTTCGATGTTTGTGGTATGGATTCTGAAAACCATCATCTACAGGCAAGCCTAAGTTTTCTGCCACACAGGACACATCTGAGGAGAAAGAAATTTTAGGCAATGTCACATACACAAGTAAAGATGCTAATAGTAAAACTGTATGCAGCACTGTATTGGAATAGCAGAGATTTAGTAAATAATGTACCACATTCAATTCACCAGTTCCAAAGTTTGAACTGGCAGAAAGTGAACTATATGTGGAGAAAAACACAAACACACACAAAAATTGCGATGTTTAACCAAAAAGCAGAACCTGGGCCAAAACATGAAATTCTCTCTAAATGTTACAAGACTTCTAATATATGGGATCTATCTGGTGCCCTTTGCTAATGTCAAGTGTGTCACATTTTTTGGTGAAAATCAAGCAAAGCAGATTGTCTCAGTATTAATTGTATAGTGCTCCTTCTCACTTCTGTGCAGTTACCTAAAATCTTTATCTAATGGCTTCAACATATCTGGCACTACAGCGCCTCCACAGACAAATAGAAGCATTTACACAAATCTATTATATGTGAAACAGTGTAATGTTTGTTTTAAAATATATATATATATATATATATATATATATATATATATATATATATATATTCTAAAAATGTCTTTGTGTGATGGAAAAGCCTCAGTTTCAGCAGCCATTACTCTGGATTACTGTGAAAACAGTTACATATTCATTAAAAATTATTTTAAAGGTATAACTTTAGTACCCAATGTGTTTTTTTTTTTTATATTGACACAGCTGAAATGGTTGTACTGCTTAATGAATTGCTGAAAATTGTAGCATTGGCTGCTTAAGTATTCAGTACCCTAGAATTTCTTGCCAGTTATGTTTGCTTCTTGAAAATGGCCAACAAGAAACAAATTCTTCTAGCAACTCATAAACTGTTGTTCTTCAGAGAAAATAGGCCTATTCCACGCACTACTCTCTTGAAAGAAGAAAGCAGATCAGATCTAACCAGGACAGAGCAAGAAGTGAATGGCCCAGATGCACAACAACAGAAGGACAAGTACATGGCAGAAACAGACCCCTCAATAGTGCTCACCCGGCAGCTTCAATGAACTGCACACACTAAACACATCTGACATTGGCAGAGAAGTTCAAGTACTGAGAAAAATGTCATACAGGCCAATAACACCAAATTACTTCATATTTTGTTAATACAGCACAGAGATGATCAAAATACAAACAAAAATGCCAAAAAGCTTGCCGGTGCCTTGTCTATCACAAAATTAATAGGTAAAAATATTCTTATTCCTGCACTTTTGATTATTTCTGTTATAAATTTAACTGTGGAGAACATAATCCTCAACCAAAAACTGTCTCTGGTTTTGGTAAGAGACAGTTTTGAACTTCTTGATGCCTCAAATTCTTGATGGTTGTGCAAGTTGTTGCGCCCTAAGTAACTAATCATGTTTTTGTGTTAAAAATTACAAAGAGAAACTACACCTTTGTTCTTGACAAGTGTCCTGATATACCTCTTTATTCTAAATACTATTTAAATATTATTTACTCACCGTGCATGATATATCCATCATGTCTTTCCAAGTAAGACATTTTGCTTGATTTTGTATAATCAATAATACAGAGTCAGCAGATACTACTGAAGTAATCTGTACTGATTTGGACATGAACCAATAATAAGAAATTAAAGATATATAGCTGTATATTCATACATACTGCAATACCTTAGACCCACTTTTTATTAGGTGTCTTCAACTACTTATTTGTATGTAATGCTGTTACATTGTAGTTACAATCAAAGTACCTGCACATAATTACAAAATGTATTTACATTATTGACCATAATCTGGCAATAATTTTCCAAAACATATACATTGCATCAAATGTTTAACATGTACGTGCTAAGGAGTTAGCACTTAATGTTAACTTAATAATTAGTTAAGACACCTACTATAAAGTGGAACCCAAACCAGATATTATATACAAATAAATAAATAATTCTGTCTTACAAAACACTCTTGAGTAACCACTGCTCTGTACATGAAACCATGATACTCTTGGCTCATGAAACATGTTCCGTAATTTAGAACAAATAATCACTGATAATACAATATAATTAAATGTAATGGCAAATGTGCTGTGATGTTCATTCGGTCAGACACCTACCATGCAAGGACAAAAGCAGCCAGGGTTCAAAACCAGCACGCAACACCGTTCCTGCTCACAGTACATAGACTGCTTTCTGTTTATCACTTGTATAAATGACTGAGATAGTACAGATAACAGTCCAGTTTGAGGAAGTCAGGGGAAGGAAGTTTACAAGTGAGGTGTGACAAGTGTCAAATGTCTTCAACAGTGAGTTGTGAATGCATAACGAGTAAAGAGAAAGTTGTCAAAGATGCAGTATATTTAGGCCATGTTTGACTTTAAAAAAAAAAAAAAACTGCTACATTACATCGGAAACTTGTATTTTTAGAAACGGATGTCATCTAATGTTCAACACTGCAACAATGCAGAGATGCCAAACCAGGATTTCAATTTCTCAGACATTAAAATGATATTAAAATTATTAAGTTTTAGTGCCGTATTGTGGACCTGAACAGACAGAATCTGATAGTAACAGTGTGTCAAAAGCCTTCTTTTCAATTATCATGTTGAAAAAAAGTATAACGCCAGCAAAAAAGTGGTACTCTCTTTCTCACCAGCTGTCATGCAGGTGTGAAATGTAGGTGCCTAATGTGTTTGCTGTATGTCTCTATTTCAATATGTTTCAACTACATAAAAAAAGAGCAGCACAGAACTATACAAGTAGTGAAGTGACTTATAAGCTTGCAACTAGTGATTTAGACTGCTTATATGTAATTTAGAAAGTGGTTAATAAACTGCATGTTCTTAGACATTTGTTTTTAAAAAGTAATCATCTGATAGCTGTTCAAGTTTATTACAACCCAATTTATTTCTTAAATGTGATGTATGCCTGAGTAAAACTGGATGGGGACTGAATCATGAAAAGCGGTCTCAGATGTTTGCGAGGAGGTGAATGAGAGGGCTTAGTGATGTTGGTAGCACTTAATTTTATAATTAAGTATAAATTAATAATGAATAACTTAGTACTAACCATGAAACTAATTCGAAATCCATGTTCATGTAGTTCAAAGAAATGCAAAAAGGAGTGCACATCCTAAAATCCAAACTGGGTTCAGATGCATTTCACTTCACAAGGGTATTGTGTCTGATGAAGACCTGACTGGTCAAAATGTTGCACTGCTAGAAGTCCATGTAGTTAACCTTAGGCCCAGGTATACTTCATTTCACATCTTACGCTCTGTATAATGCACAGTTGAGTGAGTACGTATGCAGTTAGTGAAGATGGGCACATTCAATGTGAACGCACTACCTAGTTGATCTGTGACAAAACTTGAGCTGCACACAGACATCAAACATTTTTCTGGAATAACATCACTCATGTGTACATGTGTGTCTTATACCTGTTGAGGACTTGGCTCTTAGGTGGCTTTGGAGTTTCTCCCTGCGTAGAGACTGTGTGTTTGCTGTATCTGTACTGTGCTGAATGGAGGGTGGATGGCGTTTCACAGTCAGTTGCAGACTCTGTTCGTTGAATAAAGTCTGTATAAGAGCCAGGTCCAGAGAAGACACCGCACAACCATTTAAAACCATGATCTCATCACCGGGCCTCAGACCTATCAGTTATAAAATATAAAACAACAGGAGTGAAGGAAATAAAGTTTATAATGCCCTTCCAAAGGCAATATGTGAAAACATAAAAAGATCTTTTGGTCTTTGTTCAAATATCAAAAAGGTGTTTATAATGCAACCTATAAAAGCAAAAGTACCTTTGCTGAAAGCAAGCCCATCAGGGAGAACTTCTCTGACATCGATACGGCTGTTTTTCAGGTTGTCTACATAGCCTGTAACAGCAAAGCCTTGAGGACAGGAAAAAAAAAATCATAACGCATCATAAAGTGCCATCAGTCCCCATGAGTTTATAAACAGCCACTAAAATTTCCCCTTTGCAATGACTTGCTTACCAAAGTCTCCAGTTAGACTAGGTCTAGACATATGCAGAGTGTAGACATTCAGCTGGCTGACCTCCAAATCGTCATAAGACTAGGGTGAGAAAGAAGTGTAGATAAGTGCGCAATCATGCAGCTCAACAACTCTGCTTTTTATAAACTGGGCTGTGATCCAACTGCTTAGCCATTATCAATATCTTACCATGTCCTGCAGGAGCTCGTCGGCCGATGGGGTTGATACCTCCATCCTGTCTCCTACACATCTTCTCAGCCTTAAGAAGTGTAGGCTAGGGTCCAGGCCCATGAGCTAAGAGAAGAAAATCTATTTTAAGCAGCAGCTCTTTCCACATACAAATAAATAAAAAAATAACACAAAATGTAGAGCGTCAAGACATAAAAGAATAACGGCTATATTGTATGACTTCAGAAGAGTTGGATTACAGTGCTGAAATGCATGTTAATGTGTGTTTCTGCCATTAGAAAAAGAGCAGTGTGAAAATGTTTCAACTACTTCTGTATTCCACAAAAGAAGAACAACATAAAAGGTTAGTAAATGGCAAAATAATATTTGTTTTGTGTAAATTATTAATTTTCTTTGCTGACAACTCAATATTTGTAATCCTTTCCAGCTACAACCCTGGAGTTATGAGATTTGCCTTTTTCTTTTTCATGACTTTTCTTCTTTTCTACCGTTCAAAAGTAATGTTTTTTTTTTTTATTTAAGTAGTACTTTTATTTAGCAATAACACATTAAATCAAAAATAGCAGTAAATATTTTACATTGTAACAAAAATTCTATATAAAGCTACTTTTATTTACTGATAATAATAATTTAAAAAAAATTCTTGAGCACCAGCATTTGAGAATGATTTCTGAAGAATTTTGACACTGATGAAATATTCAAATTAAAATTTAAAAGAGCTATTTTAAATTGTAATAATATTTCATTCCATTTACTATTTTTACTGTATTTGTGATCAAATAAATTCTGTGAAATAAATTGTCAGAAAAGCCATAACACATCTGTTATGAAGAGGGCATGATGTCATCTATTAATGAATTTCCCTAGATGCGGTCTATTATTTATATTGATATTCTTTTAGCAGATGCTTTTATCCAAAGCGACTTACAAATGAGGACAATAGAAGCAATCAAAACCAACAAAAGAGCAATAATATTACAATAATTATAATATATTATAATGACACCCATAGCCTCAGGTAATCTCAGCAGTGAAGTATGCTACCACATACAAACATAATGATGTGTCGGTGTCTGTGTTGATTCAGACATAACAGGCACATGTGTAAAGTAATTAGAAACAATGCAACAGTTGACAAATCAAAATGGGTGTGTTGATAAATCAAGACAATTAACCTGAACACTATGCTGACTCTTTAAAACAAATAGGTGGATTTTTTTGGAATGCACTGATCTTACCCTGCAGGTCTCGGCCAAGACATCCGTGACAGTGTGATGAGGTTTCAGAAGGACGGTAACAGTCTGGTAATTCGGCATATAGATGCACGTTGTGTTTTCTTGGCTGCAATCCCATTGGCTGCCTTCAGGTGGCACGATTGAGTAAACATTAGCCATACTACCTAACCTCTGTGAAAGAAAACCAGAGAAGAAACAAACAAAAAATCTGGTAAAATGTTAAGACTTTTTCAATATTACTTTTCTTCCCCGGTTAGTTACTTACCCATTTATAACACTTTATTACATCTCCTTATTTATTATTGGTGACACAAATTAAAATATTTTTTGATGGCATCTGAGAGCTGTCTGACCCTGCATAGACAGCAACGCAACTGAAATGTTCACAAGTCCAGAAACGTAGCAAGGAGATCTGTAAAATAATCCATGTGACATCAGTGGTTCATCCACAATTAAACGAAGCTACGAGAATACTTTTTGTGCGCAAAAAAAAAAAAAAAAAGACTTTATTCAACAATTCGTCTCCTCCGTGTCACCCTGTAGCGCCATTTTGGGGAGTTTCCGCTGGACGTAAACAGCGTATGCTGTTCTGTGTCAGCTGCGTCACATAGATATACGCTGTTTTCGTTCAGATCAAATCACAACAACGTAGGAAACAGATCCGGCGTGACACAGCTGACACAGAACAGCATACGCTGTTTACGTCCAGCTGATACGCTCCAAAATGGCGCTACAGGGTGACGCGGAGGAGACGAATTGTTGAATAAAGTCGTTATTGTTTTTTCTTTTGCGCACAAAAAGTATTCTCGTAGCTTCGTAAAATTACGGTTGAACCCCTGATGTCACATGGATTATTTTACCGATCTCCTTGCTACGTCTCTGGACTTGGGAACATTTCCGCTGCGTTGCTGTCTATGCAGGGCCAGACAGCTCTCAGATTCCATCAAAAATATCTTAATTTGTGTTCCGAAGATGAACGAAGGTCTTACGGGTTTGAAACGACATGAGGGTGAGTAATTAATGACAGAATTTTCATTTTTGGGTGAACTAATCCTTTAAGTCTTTGGTGTCGGAAACAAACACGCCTATCCACCTTCACACACTCCAGAGAAAACATGTCACGTCTCCGCTCCAAAGGTACAGACCGTCCACACATTTCACTCAGTGAAGTAATGGCCTTTTTAGCAAGGGAAACAGAGTTACCTAAGACAAGTTGTATAACCCTATGTTTGTCCAGCGAGTGGTGTGAATGAAACCCTGACCAGCAGTAGAATGAGTCTGCATTCATTTACCACAGAAACGGTCAACTTTCCAACAGAGCAGCCAAGGGCAACTGCCCAGTACACGCTCCTCAGTGTGTGTGGCTCTGAGCACTTCAGACTTTCCTCTCCAAAGTGGGAAAAATCATTTATGGAAGCTAACCTCCACCCAGAATGCTAAAGATGGAAAGATGAAGAAAAGTCTCTTGCTGTCTAGAATAACCGCTATCCTTTAACATGGTCTCTTAGCAACATCGGTGTGTTGGTCTCCATGGATTACTGAAGTACATACAGTGAGGAACCAGAGACGTACAAGCAATCACAAACTGTACAACGTGGCTCAATCCACAGTCTTGCTTAAAATGAACTAGTTTTATCTAAATCAACTGATGTGAATAAAATCAGACAATTGTTCAGGGCATCACCACCAATCAAAATGTGAGCATCCATCAGCCACAAATTATTTTTTATACAAAAAGACATCACTAATATATTTTGTACATGTAAAATGTGTAGGTATATTAATATCCATGTTTTACAAATGTATTTTTAACATCTAACTAAGCCTAAGCTTTTTCCAAAGGCAGGACTCTGTATTTTGTGAAAACACAGTAACGTACCTCAAAACTACAAGGAGGAATAGTATTTAGATGCCCTTCACCGTCAGTATCAAAGACCTGAAACAAGAGGGAAAAAACGAATCACTGCAGTCTCATAAAACTCTTAGTCATATTTTGTCAGACGGAACAGAGCCATGGTTACAAACACTGCAGCAGACAAACTATCATTTTGTTTCTAAATAAAACTTAAGCCAAGCAAATTTCCTGTAGTGAATCTATTTTGATCTCTTTTTAACATCTAACTAAGCCTAAGCTTTTTCCAAAGGCAGGACTCTGTATTTTGTGAAAACACAGTAACGTACCTCAAAACTACAAGGAGGAATAGTATTTAGATGCCCTTCACCGTCAGTATCAAAGACCTGAAACAAGAGGGAAAAAACGAATCACTGCAGTCTCATAAAACTCTTAGTCATATTTTGTCAGACGGAACAGAGCCATGGTTACAAACACTGCAGCAGACAAACTATCATTTTGTTTCTAAATAAAACTTCAGCCAAGCAAATTTCCTGTAGTGAATCTATTTTGATCTTAAACAAAAGGTTCGAGACTTCATTGGAGGAAAAGAGCACTATAATGGCTATTAGGATGAACGGTCATGCTGAATGTTTAATGCAAGACTTTTAATCTCGAATTTATACTTTTGTGGAGGCTTATTATGCAGTGGCGGCTCGTGGGTTTTAAATAGAGGAGGCACACTAATTGTATTCGTCTGGGATCCCTGCCGATTATTATTATTATTATTTGCTTAACCACTTTAAAATGGCTTTTTGGTTGCTTTTAGTCAAAAAACTTAAAGAAAACGACATACATACAGCAAGATAATATAATTTAACTTACCTGGCCTATCACTTTAAGCAAACATCCATCCCTTCTTAAAAGTCTGTGCTAAAAGAGAGCTGCTGTTTAATTAAGCCGTCTGCTGTAGCCTATATCCAGCTTAGGCAGTTTTCCCTTTTTTAAATTTGTATATATACTGTTTGAATGACAGTTTGGTAAATCTGTTGGCAATCAAATATTCAATATCGCTACTCATCATAAGTACCTGGTACATTATCAGACGTTTGATTTGACAGATTGGTTGATACATCAGAGGGGAGGCTAGCCTCCCTTGCCAGGGTTCTTTTCAATACTCCTCAGTGCTGAAAGTGAACACTCGATGGTGATTGGCAAATTTTTTTTTTACCAATGGAGGCACAAGAGCTCAGCTCTTCCCCGGCCTCCCCCTAACCTTCTCTATCATTAGCGGTTGTAATTACATCAGCAGATTTGGCACATTCGTGATAGAAAAGTGGCACTTTCACGTTATGGTATTACAACTGTGAAATTACAAACAAAAAATACTGAAATGGAACTGAAATGAATTGTGCCCACATAGCGACCTAGATATGTGGGGGCGTGTTAGAACGAGCCGTTTTAGGGGGGCGTGGCAGAGTCTTAACTTTGATAAAGAATATCTCTTTGGTTTTCAGACTTTAGTCTTTGCAACTTCAGGGATCTTATCTATGCACAATCAGATTGTAACACTCCGAAGAGAAAGAAAAACTTGAAATCGCATCATATGACCCCTTTAACATTAAATCGTACTCCTCCCATTTCACCTCAAAATTATGGGGAAGCTGTGCCTCCCCTGCCGAGCCGCCACTGTTCTTATGACAGATTGCTTGTGATGTTTCTCATCTGTAAGTCCTTTTTATAGCCATGCATGGTCAGCTGTAGGGGTCTTATACAGTTTTAGATTTTTCCCTGAGGCCCACTTATAATGTTAATTTTTCCTCATCTTTTTCAATCCTCTCCTTGGGCCTTAGAAACCGACTAGATTTATTTTTATTTTTTCTGATTTGCCTCGAAGACTTCTATGTAAACAACCTCTTAGCATACGAAATGAGAAACTTTTCTGAGGCCTTTTCACAAATAAACAAAATGACGCACAGATGAATTGTCTATTCACACCAAGAGCAAAATTCATATTTGTCAAGCTGAAGAAACAAAAAATAAAATAAAAAAGACAGTCAGTAAATAAAGATCATAAACTGTATAGTTGTACAGAATTTGTATATCAGTTATATGTACATATATTTTTATGATCTCAAACTGTATGCATGAACTAGAATTCACATTGTTCATAATTATTTTAATCTTTAAACAGCCCTCCTCCTTTTTATATTTGTATACATAAAAATTTAAAAATCTTCATGGAGTAAACAAATGTAGTCCAATATGAATATGAGAACAGATAGAAGAGAATAGATGATAAACTGGTATAAACACAGGGCAAAAATCTAAAAATACCTAGGAAAATGTACTTCCTCACGATACACACTTACATTTTAAATGTAATTTTTTTGAAAATGTGCTACAGTACAATATTATTTAAATTTGTACAAATTCTAATTTTATGTAAAAAAAATTATAATGCATTATAAATCGAATATATTTTTTCTATTTATTTTCAGCAGCCATTACTCTTCAGTGTCACATGATCCTTCACATGAAAATTCATTCTAATATGCTGATTTGGTGCTCAAGATTAGAAGCATTTAATTATGATCAATGTTGAAAACAGGTGTGCTTCTGAATATTATTGTAGAAACAGAGATACATTTTTGTCCAGAATTCTTTGATGAATAGCATTTATTTCAGACAGAAATCTTTTGTAACACTGTAAAAGGCTTTACTGTCACTTCTGATCAATTGAATGCATTCTTGGTAAATATAAAATTACTAATTTCTTAGGTTTTAAAAAAAAATCGTACTGACCACACTTTTAAACGTAGTGTATACATATAGATATATAATTATCAAATTACTAATGTTTTTCCCACCATTTAATCTCATTAAGAAACTGTATGTGTTAACTGCATAGGAGGGCCTAGTAACTGGGGACCCAATTTTAAAGTCTAAACAGGATTACTGTCAGAGATGAAGAACAAATTATTTGCTTCTAAGCAAGGCCAAACGTAGGCTTAAAGACTGACTGATGTTCTCAAACTCCGTGAGAGACAAAGAGAGGAAGAGAGACAAAAAAGACACTTTGGCTTGATGGCTACCGCAGTGGCAAAAGGTTGGCCTGTTTAATATTTAGCAACTAGCATAGGGCTCTTATACCAACCATCTGTGTGTCGCTGCGGGGTAGAGTACAGCATGCTGCAATTTACCCCATATGGCTTTTAATAATTCATAATGCATTTCTCCCTCTGTCTGTCTCCACACCTCTGCCTTCTGTGGTGTGAAATGAAATTGGGGCTCGTTAGCCAAGCTGGCTGGATCTCCCATTACATGACACATGTCAGGGAGGGACAGGGACTTCATGTCAGTGACTGGAGACTTTTTTACCTTTCACTCACTTAAGATACTAGTGGATTCACTTAGTGACAGAAATGAGCAATTTAACTTTTTATTAAGGGCTAAAATTTGGTCTATGGAATTGATTTTCAGTTACTTTTTTTTGGAACACAACATATTTGTTAATTTATGTCAAATGCTTCAGTATATTATTATTTTTTATTGGACACTGCAGTGTCTTAACTCATAACTATTTAGGCCTATAGTGTAAAATTGTATGAAATATATTAAATGTCGAAAGAAAATGTGACGAGAGGGGCGGGGCCGAGAGCCGTGGGAACGGAGCGAGGCCGGTGGAGTAATTGATAATGAGCGACACCTGCACCACTCACCGGTCTCGAGTCTCACGGAGGAGCTCCGGAAGGATAAAAGGGAGGAGTGACGACAGTGTCGGACGAGAGAGGACCAGGCCTGGAGTTTATTTTGTGTTTTGGTTTCGTTTGTGCGCGACAGTCGTCCGCGAGGGGCTGTCGCGCTATTTTGTGTTTGTTTATTTTATTAAAGTTTCTTTGAATGTCCGCCAGTTCCCCGCCTCTTTCTTCCCGAACTATGATCTTTGTTACAAAAACGAATAAAACTATTTATTATGGGGCCATTGGGGCTTCACATCTGGAGCATTTTATTTAATTTTTTTACTTTCAGTGGCACTCATTGTTAATTTCTGCCACTGGGTTCTTTATGCAAAATAATGTGCATTAATTAAGATGGGACAACTACAATTTGGGATCACTTGTTCATCACTGAATTGTTATGCCGTCTACTTTCTACATAGACAGCTGACTTCTAAAACGGAAAACCTAACTGCATATGAATCTCATTTGGAGACACATTTTTAGTGGTGAAACTGATTTTCCCATTTAAAAAGCAAAGACCAAAAAAGCATGCAAGTCATGCAAATCTTTCAGCACTATTTTTTGGCACAGTAAGTCTAGCAAGCTACATTTTTAAGATGGTTTCCCAGAAGCTACTGACCTCAGGGAAGGTCACCACCATGTACCAAGTGATTATCGGGAACAAAACTGGCAGTTTGGACAGGAAATTCTTTTCTTCTGAAAACATTTGAGTGGGGTAAATAAAATCTGTGCTTACAATGAATAATTTAATTCATCTGATTTCTAGAGGCTGCAACAATATTTTCCTTCCAGCTGTTCCCCTTGTGAACATTTCAAATAATTAGATAAAGTGAATTAAGGCATTTACAGAGGTGTATAAGAACATTTAGAGGTGTATTTTATCATATCATTTTGAAATATAGTCAATGTAGAGCCAGTTTGCTCATTGCAATTCATTCTGGAATTGCTTTATATGAGAAGGGCATGTGCAATCTGCAAACCAAAATTACTGCCTTGAAGTGTTTTCTAGGTAGGCAGCTTACTAGTTTTTGGGACCCACTTTATATTAAGTGTCTTTAACTACTATGCACTTGCATTTAATTTATTAATTTGATCCAACATACTTATTGTGCCCATACATATTTTTTACATTGTACTTATGAAATAACTGCATGTAAATACATCTGTAACTACACTATTGGCCCTACCCTTTCCTATTAACCAACACTAACTATACCACCAAATGTCCCTAACCCTAACCATATCCCACCTCAAAAGCAGCACTCAACATGAACACAATATGTATGTACACTGTACCTATTTTTCCCACCCTTACCTAATAGGCTAAGCTGGGATCATTTTGCAATATAGCAGGATTGACAGGAGGTCGAAATTAAGCCATGCTATACTAGCTGTGGTCTAGAAAACTAGTGTCCCTTACCTGAGGAAGACCACTGTAAGAACAGCAGCTCAAATCAATGAAATCCTTTAAATAAAAATACAAAATTAAGGATCTACAATTTTTATACAGACCAAGATGGTTTACTAGGTGGTAAAGAAGTGCAACAGACTCACAAAACAAGCATTAGTGACTTACTTAGCTGCCACTTTTTATTCCAAACAACACACATAGTACTTTAAATCTGGAGACAGTCCTCCTGCAACAACTTGGTGTTAAATGCCTTGCTCAAGGGCACGGTCATGACAGAAAATCTATAAAATTCTTATTCCGGCTCATGGGTCAACCCTCTCTAGATTTAAACAAACAGCCCAGCGCAGTTCCTTAACTGCTAATTCACCACTATTATTAGCACACTGCATTAAGATCTCAACGGGGAGGAAACATCATCAGCTTCATCAGTGTCTCAAGGCTTTACACTTGGTAACCAGATATGAAACTCTACATCTGAAAATAGCTCTCTTATTATCTTGGTGCATTTCTGAGAAAGGAGGAGGAGATGGGAAAACGAACAGCATTTTTAATCCTGCCAGCTCTGTAATTACTACCTTTAGAGAGTCTTTATTTATCAAAGTCCTGTTATTTGCACCTGTGGGAAGAATTTCCCACCAGCCTGATGCATGGGTTTCAAAACATAAAAGGTAGAAAAATGTATATGCAAATGCACTTTCCAAGCACTTGTGTTACAGCACACAGTCACGACTGTTTAAAGCAGACAGAGTGGGTGTAGTACCTGTGAGACTGAAGGCTTTTTTTCATGACCTCGCTTGGTAAGAGTATCCAGGCCCTTCAGGGAGGAAAAGACCCCTTTCTTACTGCGACCTCGGTGGGACAGAGACAGAGAACGCTTTCGCATTGTGGCTTCATCTCTGGAACAGATCTGTACGACAACAAAGAGACTGGCTGTAATGGTAACTAGGTAAGTATTCCATTTTTAGAAATGAAATGTTCCAAATTAAGTGTAACAGCTTCCTCTCATAGTAATTTCAGGTTTCAGATGTTAAAATCAAATTCATTTTCAGTAAAGAATTATTTTTTTTTTTTAACAATGACGTATACAGTAAACCTGTCAGAATAATTTCAACTTCATTTAAAAAGGAGTATAATAGCTGAATTCCCTGTCAACAACTAGACTACCCCACAGCCCTGATCCATCAATCAGAGAGAGGGAGAGCTGTTGTTGCCATAGAAATTGTGAATTGTGCCAAAAGAGCTCAGCAGCAACCACCCACTTCCATGAAGCATTGCGCATGACAGTCAAGTTAGTCTCCCATGCTCTCAACCAATTATATGTGTTAACATTTTGCAATAAAACAACAAATCACTGCAGTCACCCGGATCCAGTACGTATCCAGCTCAGATGGTGGATCTGCACCTAGAGATGACCTCGACAGCCCTGAATGTCAGCGGAGATCAGGAAAACTAGATGAGCCCCAGAGACAGAGCCCCAGTGAAGACCTTGTCTCCTAGACGGCCACCGGGACAAGACCACAGGAACCAGTTGAGTCCTCTGCACAATCTGACTTTGCTGCAGCCTGGAATTGAACTGCTGGTTTCGTCTGGTCAGACGGTCTGGCCCCCCGACTGAGCCTGGTTTCTCCCAAGGCTTTTTTTCCATTCTGTCAACGATGGAGTTTCGGTTCCTTGCCGCTGTCGCCTCTGGCTTGCTTAGTTGGGGACACTTAATTTCCAGCTATATCGTCGACTTGATTGCACAGATACTATTTAAATTGAACTGAGCTGGATGATGACATCACTGAATTCAATGATGAACTGCCTTTAACTGAAAATTTAGTGTCATTTTGCATTACTGAAACAATATTTTCCTATTTAATGCTGTAAAGTTGCTTTGACACGATCTGTATTGTTAAAAGCGCTATATAAATAAAGGTGACAAATACATTATAATTTAAAACAATTAAATAGATATATTAAAATAAGATTAAAATATACTGTTGTTTTGATTCCATCACAGAATTTGCAATACTGCATGGGATGAGTTCACTGCTACATAGTTTTCGGCTTAGTACCTATGTCTTCAAATTATATTCAAATAGTTTGTTCAGTTTTGATTTAACTTGTTAAACCTTTGAATGAGAAAATGAATGAGACATATTTCTGGAACCACTCAAAAAGTGGGCTGTCACTGTTGTGTTCTTTTAATGGCTACTAACCAGTGCATGGAAGGAGGACACGGAGAAGATTCCCAGACGGGCTAGTGCAGCTTTGGTCGGGCGGCTGACCGTGGCTAGCAGGCTCTTGGGGTTGGGTAACTCTCCACCTTGTAAACTGGCCAGGTAGCAGCGCATGCGGAAAAGGTCCATGTTGAAGCGCTCAAGATTCTGTTCCCACTGTTGGATCTGTCCGCAAATTAAAAAAAAGTGTTACTGAGGAAAGACATCTCATCCGCTAGGTGACAAACTACTGCTTCGCAGAATGATCATTTGCAGTGTTGGGAAGGTAACTTTGGAAATGTAATAGGTTACAGATCACAAGTTACCCTATTTAAAATGTAATAAGTAGTGTAACTATTTCAATTACTTTATTAAAGTCATGTAATTGATTATATATGATTAAATTGATTTAATTTCTACATTTCTTATATTTTTTTCTAAACATTCATTAAACGCATTCTAAACTGTTTTTCAAATAATTTGGAAACATTTAAAGCAGGCAGGGTTAACCTGACAGTAGTACTCAACACTGATTACATTCAGACTTTCAAAATCCTTTCATCACTTGTATTAAGTTTATAATAAATGGATTTTAAAGAACAGCCACCACAAAATCAGACTTTAGCACCTCTTTTTACTTTGAGATCGTTATGAGGTTAAATGCAGATTTAGAAAAAAATAATTATTTGTATAGCTATGACAGGAAACACTGGCATCTAACAAAGCTTTGGGCGGGAATAAACAGTTAATTTTAAAAAATAAAGCATACATAAACCCAAACAGGAAATAAAATGGTTATCAAATAAATATGTGTCCTATTCTGTGTCCTAAATTCCGGTAAGTAACTAATTTAATTACACATTTGTTTTCAGTAACTGTAGCAGATTACAGTTACATTTATTTTGTAATTAAATTATGTAATTCCATTACATGTAACTAATTACTCCCCAACACTGATCATTTGTGATCTATGGTGGCAGAAACTGCATGAGTGAAGGATCTTTGCGGCTGTAATTGCTCTCAGATGTGAGAGGGCATAAAGGGAGTTTTTCTCCAATCGCCATTATTATATGTAATAAAAAAAACATAGGGGAAACCACTTAGTGATTTAGTGCTCTGCTCTTTTGACAAAACAGGGAAAAGGATTATTAGTCACAGCTCTATGAACATTATCAGTTTTCTGATGAAACTTTATAACACTAGTCTCATATAGCTAAGCATCTGACTAAATACCATTTGTCTGGTCTACATTGCAGCCAAGAACCGCCCACTTAAACAGGAAGAGACTGTCTGACTGACGCGTGACAAACTAGAATTTGTTTTGTTGTAATGTAATGTACCATTTTAAGGCTGTGCTTAATAAAAGCCTATCTACACTAATGATGGGGTTTGTTTTCTTTTAATGGGGAAAGCTATTATTGTATACTCTTCACTTATTATTTTTGAGACATAAACAATACAGTTATTTAATTTAGCGATAATTGACAACAATGGATTAAAAAAATACTAACATTGCACAGACTTTGCTTTTGTGCATTGTTTTGTATGGTTTGGTTTGGGCTCCCAGCATCATTCATACACTGCCAATGAGTTTAGAGACACGGTGTCATTAAAGTTTCTTGGTATTTGGTTTATTTAATTCTACCAACTCAACCTCACATCATTAAATCAAGTATAATGAGGTTGGACAGACACTGCACTGTTAACTCATGGGAATCTTATGCTAGCCCAGGAGAGCCTTTCAGAAGTACGACACTGGATATCAACATTGGACACCCATTACTACAAAAAGAGAGGCATGTTCGTTGTAGTTTAGAGCCTATTAGGAACACACTGACTTGACTGAGTCTTTGGAGCCTGTTTGAGAAATTTGTTCTAATGGTCTCCCATGAAATTTGATCCAGAATCAACCTGTGATGAAAAAAAAAATCAGCTAAATGTTCTCACACAGTCTGATCAGGAATCAGATTGAGATGTTAATAAACTTAATATATAAAAGCCTGGCTGAATTTCCATTTCTGAGATATATGTGTGTTTACGTCTGGATGGGCAGAATTTTTGATGTGCAGTCATACGCATTTATCTTCAATTAGTTTTTCTGACATTTTCCCTGATTCATATGTTTAATAGTCTTAAAAGCCATTATTAATTCAGTTACAGGGAGAAAGGGTGAAGGGGGGTCAATGGAGACTTAAAACCGCCCAGCTGGCACTGATTTGTAGAGACAACACTTCAAAGTTACCCAGTTTCTCAGACAATTCTAACCCTTTACCCTTTACCAAATCTCTCATCCAGCGTCTGGCACCCCCCTAACTCCCCCTTTTGACCTCTGCATCAGCTCCAGAGGTTCCCATGAAGCATTAACATGACTGCTATCAGGCATTGGGAAAACTACTAATACCATTGGTCAAATAAAGCTATGTGGGTCATGCAACCTCTAAAGTGGTATGTGGTGGTAAAATTAGCATGCCTTCTGTTAAAATGACAAAGCCCTCAAGGATTTATCCCGATGTTTCAGACAAGATGGAGAGCTTGGTACATTCTCAACCTTGTCAATGAATACACATCTCACTACAAAGCATCAAACGTAATGACGTAGTTAAAGCACTAAACTTCAAATGTTCGCATGTGCAGCTGCACCTTCATTGTTTCTAAGAAATGCAGTCTTTATCTCACACATAAGCACATTTCATGTTAAATAATAAATCAATAAAATGGTCAGTCAAAATTAATAAAAAAAAACAAAAGAGACAAAAAAGGACGTCATACAGTATTTAGACGCACTTCCAACAAACTGGATTTAACTGTTGCTTACCTGGTTTTCAATAGCCTTTCTATTTTTGGGGTCACCAACGATGGACAACTGCAGCTCTGCCATTTTCCTCATCTTGCTGTCCATGTCGATCTTCTGGAGAAGACCATGGATCTGTCCATGTAATAAGCGCAGCGTGTCCTCTTTCCCGTAGCGTTTCGCAAATAAAGATGCGCTAGCCGAATGAATGGCGGTTACCCAGTTCTCTAGGTCAGTCTGGTTGGAGGCCTAGAGTGGAAAATAACATACAAGGAAGAAAATGTGACCTTTTATACATAGAAGTTACTGTAAATATGCTCATTGTAAAAAAAATATAAGGCTATTTGATTAGTAACGTATATGTCTTGTGCAGCACTTTGTACCACTTCATTTTAAATAACAACGTTACTTTGTTTTTTCAACTCAACTCTGTATGTATTTCCATGTTTAGATTACATTATGAAGCCTAGATTTTCAATGTCTCAAACCTTTGGACCCCACTTTCAAATTTCAAGCATTTAAAGTGATAATTCACATTCACAAAATTACAATTCTGTCATCACTTACTCACCCTCAAGTGGTTCCAAACCTGCATGACTTTTTTTCTGCTAATCACAAAAGAAGATATTTTGAAGAATGTGGGTAACCAAGCAGTTGCTGCTCCCATAGACTTCTATAGTATGGGGAAAAAATACTATAGAAGTCAATGGGGCAACCAGCAACTGTTTAGTTACCCACGTACTTCAAAATATCTTCTTTTGTTTTCGGCAGAAGAAATTGGAACAACTTGAGAGTGAGTAAATGATGACAGAATTTTTTTTATTTTTGGGTGAACTATCCATTTATGTTTATGCTTGATATCATAAGGTCATTAGTATCACCTTATTGACAAGTTATTGACAAGTAATGTGTGCAATGTTTTTTTATTTATAATACTAAATTGTCAAACTTCAGCATTTGGAATCAACAGTCTGTCTGGTTGACCAAGTCAGAAATTATAGCAATTTTATTGGCTTTAGAACATACAAATGTCAGTGCTTTCACTGAGAAGAAGGAAAGAAAAATCCATATCCATCCATAACTAATCAATCAATCAATCTTCATGTTCTCTGCACCAGTCAGTTTTACAACAGCAGGCAAGTGGCTGGTACTCAGTTTGAAGAATGTGGGTAACCAAGCAGTTGCTGCTCCCATAGACTTCTATAGTATGGGGAAAAAATACTATAGAAGTCAATGGGGCAACCAGCAACTGTTTAGTTACCCACGTACTTCAAAATATCTTCTTTTGTTTTCGGCAGAAGAAATTGGAACAACTTGAGAGTGAGTAAATGATGACAGAATTTTTTTTATTTTTGGGTGAACTATCCATTTATGTTTATGCTTGATATCATAAGGTCGTTAGTATCACCTTATTGACAAGTTATTGACAAGTAATGTGTGCAATGTTTTTTTATTTATAATACTAAATTGTCAAACTTCAGCATTTGGAATCAACAGTCTGTCTGGTTGACCAAGTCAGAAATTATAGCAATTTTATTGGCTTTAGAACATAAAAATGTCAGTGCTTTCACTGAGAAGGAAAGAAAAATCCATATCCATCCATAACTAATCAATCAATCAATCTTCATGTTCTCTGCACCAGTCAGTTTTACAACAGCAGGCAAGTGGCTGGTACTCAGTGGCCTGCCACTATACTAAAGTAATAAGCCCCAAGAAGCCGTGGTTTACAGTGAATTTATAACAGCTAAGGGGCGTTGTTAGGTACGACGCGAAGCAGAGTAACTTAAACCCCCTTAGCTGTTATAAATTCACTATAAAACCATGGCTTCACTGGGCTTATTGCTTTTATAAAATGGTAATTCCATATACGTAGTAAGGTTTCACAAATTAAAACAGAGCAAATAAAGTGTAATGATATTAATAAAAACATTATTCTTCCACCAATCAATGTACTTCCTCAGAATCAGTTGTGGTTGCCGAGCAACACACAAATGTAAACAAAGGTGTATGTTTGTAGAGTAATTTACAACAGCTTCGAACGTGGCTCAGCCAATCAGAATCAAGGACCAGAACTATCCTTTTATAAAGAACAGTTGACTATCCACCTTTTTCTTGTTGTAAAAATGGGCGCGGCCATTTGTAAATTCTATGGGTCTGGCTTCCGGTCTCATCTGCGTCCACTCCGTCCAGCTATTTTTAGCTGAACAAAACAGTTCGTTTTGCTGCTTGATATTGAAAGTTGGTGTGTCTTATCATATTATTTTAATGTATTATCTTAATTATGAACACACTGGTTTGTAGTGCAAACAGTTTTACGGTTTACTGCACATTGTTATTCTCCTCGTTATTTACCTATAGCGGCTAATGAACCGGGAGTCTCAGCCATAGGCTTACTTCCGCGTTGAAGAAAAAGGTGGATACTGGAGTCTCATTTCACAGTTAGTAGCATCAATCAAACAAAAACACACTTGAGCTGCAAACAACACAAAAATGAAAGGGGTCATATGATGTTGCTAAAAAGAACATTATTTTGTGTATTTGGTGTAATGAAATGTGTTTATGCGGTTTAAAGTAAAAAAACTTTATTAATGACATAATTAAACATTATTTTCCACATACTGTACATTATTGTTTCTCCTCTATGCCCCGCCTTTTTGAAAACGCGTCGATTTTTACAAAGCTCATCGGTCTGAAAAGCGAGGTGTGCTCTGATTGGCCAGCTATCCAGTGCGTTGTGAAGCTGATATGGTCCTCTTTTGGAAGACCAAACAAAGTAGTTTCGCTTTCACAACGAAGCACACAGCGTCTTCAGGACATGGCGGAATGCGGCAACAATACTACAGCGAGAATAAAAGTTACGCCTTCTTTCTTTGCGTGAACATTTGGGTGGCGTTATGCAAATCTTCCCACATCGTGACGTAGGTATGTGGGGGCGTGTTAGAACGAGCCGTTTTAGGTAGGTGTGGCTGACTCTTAACTTTTATAAAGAATATCTCTTTGGATTTGAGACTTTAGTCTTTGCAACTTTACAGATCTTCTTTATGCACCAAGAGCTTGAAACACTCCAAAGAGAAAGGAAAAATTGAAATCGCATCATATGACCCCTTTAAGTTAAACAATTTGTTAAACCAATTTAAAGTATATCATAAATTAAACTACACTTACATGACAGAAGCTTACACTGCAAACATAAACAAAGGCATGTCATCGACTGACAGTGACCGGAAGACTACACAATCAATCAGTTGTGCTCTAGAAATGCTGCCGGTGAACTGTTCCCGCTCTGTACACATGCAGCTTCTGTGCGGCTCTGCTTATGCTTTCAGCGTGAAGTGGCCATTAGTTTGTAAGCTCAGGTTTTCAACTTACCTGAAAAAGGTAGACATCACCATAGGCATTACTGAGGCAGAACACGTTCTCTTTCTTGGGGTGCTCAGGAACTGCCTGGACTACACCATCCTCTGCTAACAAGGCATAGCATGGAGACTCTGGATCTGAAGAGGCTTTTCCATAGGTCTCATAGAACAGCATTGTGCAGCCTACAAGAAAAAAAAATATATATAATTTGGTCACTGGACACTTTAAGCAGTCATGGTGTGTTCTTACTACACAAAGGTGAGTGGCACAGTAAATCACAGTGGCCGTTATAGCAATCATGGCATACTTACCTTTTAGAGTGACCCAGAATTGTTTCCATTTTCGACGGCCTACTAGCTCTAATTTGCGGTCCTTGTGTACAGTAAGCAATGGCTTGAAGGAGAGCCATCCGGCCCGCCTAACTACACCCTTTTCTTTCTCAAACAGCAAGTCCAGCTGCTCTAGACACCCGAGGACTTCTTGACTACTGCTCTCTGTTTCTTCTGAGGAGCTCTCGCGCCAATCTTCTCGTCCACCTTCTGCTGGAGGCCGACCGGTCTTCAGCTCCCTCATGAAGTTCTTGTAGATGTTCTGCCGCAAAACATCGGTACCCAAATGAAGGGCACCAGCAGAGCCGCTGTGGGAGTTCAGTGACAGAGAGTGAGAGCGGGTTTGAGGCATGCCGTGTGGAACCGTCAGAAAGCTGGAGACCTGAGAGGGAGAACTGGTATCGGCAGTGAGGCCATCCACACCACTATCAAAGCAATCGACGGGCTCATTATATCTCGGCTCCTACAACAACAGCAAAGGAGAAATATTGTAAGAATGTGTGTTTACTTGTGACCATCAAAATATAATTTTTTTAAACCACTATAATAAACTCATCCATTTTTGCAATCTGGGTCATTTCATTCAAAACATTTTTATTTATTTATTAATTTTTTTATATTCAAAAGAAAATGCAAGCATTGCTCATTAATGCTAAAGTTCCCAGTGTTTTGTTGCTATTCGTTTCTTGGTGTTCCAAGTGGTTTTTAGCATTATTCCTTCACCTCCTTCAAGTCTATGTGATTTTTAATTTGTAAATTTTTTCGACCGAGACCATTGCAAATATGAATGATTTGAGACTTTTAAATATTACTCACACCATTTGTGCTACTGGTTATGGAGTTTTATATCTCAGGTCATAGCGCAAATGTTATGCAATAAATGTGACCCTGGACCACAAAATCAGTCATAAGGGTCAATTTATTTGAAATTGAGAATTATACATAATCTGAAAGCTGAATAAATAAGCTTTCCACTGATGTATGGTTTGTTAGGAGAGATTTGAAAATCTGGAATCTGAGGGTGAAAAAAATCTAAATATTGAGAAAATCGCATTTAAAGTTGTCCAAATGAAGTTCTTAATGCATATTATTAATCAAAAATTATGTTTGGATATATTTTTGGTAGGAAATTTGCAAAATATCTTCATGGAACATGATCTTTACTTAATATACTAATGATTTTTGGCATAAAAGAAAAATCGATAATTTTGACCCATATAATGTATTGTTGGCTATTGCCACAAATAAATGTGTTTATGCGGTTTAAGGTTCAGAAAACCCATTATTTTCCACATAATGTACATTATTGTTTCTCCTCTATGCCCCGCCTTTGTGAACACGCGTCGATTTTTACGAAGCTCATCGGTCTCATCAGTGCGTTGTGATTGGCCGAATACCTCAAGCGTGAGATGGAAAAGTTACGCCCCTCACATACTGTTGATTCCGTGTCCCGGCCGGAGCGATGAGACAAAAACATTAAAACCCATTACAAACGAGGCATTTGTTGCATCCAGTGGGGACATAATTACAGATTATAATGACTTATACTGTCTTTTTACGCGTTGCATTGCATCACACAGAGTAAACATAAAAACCTGTCTGCATTTGTGATCAGAGAAATGACAAACAACAAGTGCTACTCAACACTTCTCAAAACTCGTGTTTGAATCATCAGTGGCAAATCCTTTAAATATGAAAACGTACTTATAGTCTGAGAGTCAGAACTGCCGGCATTGTAGTCTACTCTCCCAGGATCAGGAAACAGTCCTCCATAAAATGTGCTGCACACATCTGAATATTTGGGTTAAACTGTTCTGGAACAGTGTTGTAAATACAACTTAACCACTGCACACATCTGAATATTTGGGTTGAACTGTTCTGGAACAGTGTTGTAAATACAACTTAACCACTGATTTCTAGTCGTGTCCTCTTTTGGAAGGCCAAACTAAGTAGTTTTGCTTTCACAACGAAACACACAGCGTCTTAACGACATGGCGGCAGCAACAATACGACAGCGAGAATAAAAGTTACGCCTTCTTTCTTTGCGTGAACATTTTATGCAAATCTTCCCACATCGTGACGTAGACATGTGGGGGCGTGTTAGAATGAGCCGTTTTAGGTAGGCGTGGTTGACTCTTAACTTTTATAAAGAATATCTCTTTGGATTTGAGACTTTAGTCTTTGCAACTTTACAGATCTTCTTTATGCACCAAAAGCTTGTAACACTCCAAAGAGAAAGGAAAAATTGAAATCGCATCATATGACCCCTTTAATACTTAGGGACAGAAACTTGAGCAAAAATAACGCCTTAGCAACAACCTCTAATACGAAAACTAAATCAAAATAACAAAAGTCAGTTATCGCTGGTGTATGACAGTAAACGCAAGTTTAATCGCCATAATGCTACACAAATTTTGGGAAAATGAAAGCCATGGGCACACCTCTTTACCCCATTCCTCATTCACCATGGAAAGCACAGTATGTTCTTTAAAGGAGTGTCATTAGAAAAATATCATTAAGAGCATCAATCTTTCTTCAAAGACTACACATATCCAGCAGCTGACACTAATTACACAAGGGTTCAGATGTGCCAACAACACTGTGTAAAACTACAGCTGATGTCTGGCATTCAGTGGAGATTTGAATGTAAACTTCAATATTTCTTAACAATAACTGCAAAAGTTGAATTAACAAGTTACATGGCCACATTATTATGCATATCCATTTTGAAGCCGTCCAGTGATTACCAGGGAACTAGCAGTTGGTCAGTGTATATTTTACCAAAAGGTCTTTGTGGCTGTCAAACTGTAAAAAAATGACAGCGTGTTTCTTGGACTGGTTCATAATACATTTTAGATGGTTTCACAGTTATGATTATGATTAACCTGACAGCACAAAATTCTCATAAAATGTGATCTGATTTTCACTGAAGTCATAATAAATATGGTATAAACCGCACACACTGTCCAGAGCCAAATCTTTTTTCAGCAAACATTCCAGGTCATTAATGGGAAAGTGTGTGGCAAAATAAAACTCCCTATCTTTCATTCCCTATAATATATTTGCATCAGTTTAATACTGTATATGGAACGTCCTGTTTCAGCTCATGTCACAGTAATTAGTATTTCCAGGAATTTTGTTCCAGAACTTTTTTTCAGAATAAGACTTCATTGTTATGCCCTAAATGAAAATCTGATCACTGGGTTCATTCAAACATTCACAGTTAAAAGGAGTATTCTGGATCTCCGCAGTCTACAATGAAAAACGGCATTATAATTTATTAGCATCATTAGCATGTTAGCATAACTATTCCATGTCTACATAAATGCCTACAGATGTAAAACAACACAAGGTAACTGAAATGACTTTAAAAGCACATTTCATGACTGCATCCTGATTTACAAAAAAATGACTACTTAATGTCTTTAGTTTAAAAATAAGTCACTGCTTTCTTCTGATGTGAGCAGAAGAAAGCACAGCCGCTTTAAATTACTCCTTAAAGAAGAACTAGACTGTATCATATCATATTATAAGTCTAAAGTGAGTAATAGTAGAGTAATGCTTGTTTGCAAAACCTTCCACAGACACGGACTCCACAGAAAACATCAAAGAGTATTCCACTCTTTCCCATTAAATGCAGCATAGAAGCCAAACAACAGGAATATCTCACTGATGGTTAAACATTTTCACACACATGAAATCACAAAAGAAGACTTTAAAAGACGCATTCCCAATTAGCTACTAAAACTTAGGTGTAAACAGAGAGCAGAAATACTATATCCTCGACTTATTTTATAAGATGAGGTACTCATCATTGGTTTTCCTCCGATGCGATCTTTAATGAATCAACTCCTCGTTTTCTTCAACACCACAGAGTTTATCCCATGCTTTCTTTTGGTACCCACCAAATGCCAGACACTGCCTTTGTGAGGAATACATCATCCTGTCATCTTCAGAGCACTAAACCTAAACATTTCTTTTGCATTTTTTCAGCTCCAATGTATCCTGATATTCATTTGTTAGAGCCCCATGGGTTCCTTGTCTCATTGAACTGGCATGGTGTAGATTTCAATATTGTGCCCTATATGTGTTCCTGGCAAAACAATAATGCCCACAGCGGCACCTGGCACAAGTAACAACAGTCAATAACCCAACAGACTGATGCTTGCACTCATCAGTCATTCTCGCACTGATATAAGGCATGTGGCTAAAAATGACTAAACAAATAAAAAGGAAATGTGAGCGGTGGTATAAGAAACTATATTGTTTCCAGTAATTATAGCTTTTCAAATGTTATTTTGTTTTTTATGCTTTTGGAAATTAATCTTTACCATCCTTAATTAGGGATATTATTTAGCATTTTAGGCCCATTTTGAGCTCATGCACTCTAGTTAAGATGCGAGTGTAGGGAATTACTGCATTGTGATGGCAGAACTATAAGGAACATTTAAAATAGTGTGTTAAGCAATCATGCATGCGGTTATTTTGTACATACTAACAGTATTACTTTAACATGAACAGTTAGTAAGTGACTACCTTGAAACCAATGACAGGGTCTCTTTTGATGATTGATAATAATCCGTGTTAATTTGTATCTTGTCCTTAAGCATTTTCCTTAAAAGTTTTAGGCGAAAATAGCAAGTCAGATAGCTTGTACTATGACACTATTCTCAACAAGCAACACAATTTCAGGAATCATTCACATCCACAGCACAAATACCAAAATTGGCCATTGCGAGTTTACAGGACAGCAAGTGCACATTAAGTGTGGCAATTGGGACAATGTTTACAATTTCACTTTCATAACCCGCCCAGTAAGGATGAGCAGTGAGGTTACAGGGAGAGAGAGATGCTGTCAGCTAATCATAACAATGCCCGTTTACTGACAAATCTTACACAAGATACAGTTTTTTGCAATTCTTAGCACTGAGAGTGAGCAATAGTAATGGCAATGCTTGCCTCAACAAGCACCACTAACAATATAAGACTGATTTTAAAAAGGAACTGTAGACAGGGGTTGGACACATTGGGTTCCAATTACATCATCCAACTTTTTAAATAAAATAAATGGAATGAAAATGAAATGGAAATGGAAACAACCAACCAAAAAAATTGTCCTTACCTGAAACTTCCATTTTTTCCTGGTCAAACTTCCAGTCCAGTCACTAATACGCCTAATTCTGTTCCTGATGGACACTTTCTTTCCATTATTGTCTAGAAAAGGCTTTGGTTTCTGGCTAGGTAAGGTGAAGGAAGAATATTGCTTTTCCTCCTGGCCCCCCTCTGACCCGAGTTCCTCCATCACAGACACAAAGGAGGACCTGTGCTTTAAATGGCTATTATTTGAAAACTGCAAATCCTTAACCGTGGGGAAGGTGGCAGCAATTCTGGGATCCCTGTAGAGGTCAGCTGTAGTAATGGCAGGCAACTGCTCAGCAAGAAAACCCACTTTTGTTGAAATACTTTGGCTGTTAGGGGATCCATTGTCTGAATCGTGAAGTTCAACACTATTCCCCCAGGGCAAGTCGTACAAGGAGCCATCTGAGCTCAGAGAGCTACCTTTACTGCTCTTGAAGCTGGCAACTGCCTGTGGGGCTCCAAAATGGGCTTCTAATGATGGTGTTACACCAGATAAGCAAGAATTGGACTCTAAGGTTGGAGAAAACTTGAGGAGCTGAACTGGTCCAGTGCAATCATCCAAAATAAGAGCGCTGTTGGAACTGTTGTTGAATTCTACTCGTACACTACCATCTTTCTTTATAACGACCCTGGGGCTGCTCTGATCCTCCATTTCCGCAAGCCTGGGACTTTTCTCTAGTGTCTTCATTGTGTTAACAGCATGATTAAGGTTCCTTTTCTCCTTGTGACTACCATACAAGCAGCCATTTTCAGAAGGCAATGTCAAGCAGCCACCAGGCAGCAAGTCCTCAGAAACCCCATTCCACTGACTATTGGCACCACTCTTTAGTTTATGGGTGATGTAGTCATATTGGCGGGACATAAAGGTGCGGTTGCTCTTTGATGGGGAGGAGCTACGACCTATGTTTCTGGGCTTCAATCCAGAGTATCCTGAACCAGCATTCCAAAAGCCTAGAGGTGATAAAACGTCTTCTTTGGCAGAGTGGCCCTTGAAAGAATAGGGTTTCTGTCTACCAGGAATGATAAAACTATTGCTTCTAGAACCCTGGATGCTATACTGGCTCTCAGAGTTTCCCATCCCGGATCTAGAGGAGCAAGAAAATGATTCTGTCAGTGACATGCAATGCTTACCTTATGGAGACAATTTATCATTGATCTCAAAGTAAAAGCTACAGTATGGTAATTATTTTAAATCAGGGTCTCTCCAACCCTGCTCCTTGAGGGCTACAGTCCCACAGAGTTCAGCTCCAACCCCAGTCAAACACACTTGAAGCAGCTAATCAAGGTGTTTGGAGTAGCTTGATAATTACAGGCAGGTGTGTTGGAGCAGGGTTGGAACTCAAGCAAAGCCACTAGAAGGCAAGCTTGCAACCTTTAGCCAAAAAAGCATAATGGCTAATGCTAATGCTTCTGCTTTGGCAGTACGCAGGAAAGGAGAACAGAGGCCGCTTCACTACGCTGAATAACCAGCTTTTTAGAGGAAACAACTTTTTTAATGAATCGAGAGCCTATCGGCTAATCTTCAAAATGTTTTACACTAAACAATACTTTTGGATTGAACTATTTTTAGAGTTTACATAAATAAAAATTCAGTTTTATAAGAAAAGTCACTGACTTTTTGCGACAGGTGTGATTCAGCTTAAAGCATTTCTCATTCGATCCTAGTGTCGCACAACTCTGATTGAAATTCAGCAGTGTCAATGCTGTAATGTGATTAGTTATTAAGGCACACATGATCCAAGTTGACCATTCTGCTTTCTCCAATAGTAAGTAATACAGACCCTCTCATCTCCCATCTCCCAAATTCTGACTGAAGTCTGCAGAAAGGGAGCCCTCAAGGAACAGATTTGGAGACCCCTGTTTAAAATACAGTTCTTATGGACTATGAATACTGTGTATTTTGATTCTG